TAGCAGCAGATGACAAGAGGGCTTCCTTGCTGAGATATCTGCTTATCTTTGACCAGTAAGAACTGACAATTGATTATACACTTGGACTATCTAAGAGTCTCAGTCCTCCCAAGCCCTCCCCTTCATCTGTTGCCTAATTACTTTCAAAACCTACCTCTTTAAAATGCAGAAATAATAAATGAAGTTATCTCTAAAATAATTAGTCATTACATGTGATTAAAAATGTCAGAAGAGACTGAAGAAATGTCTTTGGAGTGGACCACCTGCTATAACCACCACAAAATCTTGGTAACTTAACATCATAGGGCCTCTCTATTATTCCTGTCACAGTTTGGTCCAAGTTTGGAGGAGGAGGAGTGGATACTGTTTCATCCAGTTTTTCAGGCACTCGGTCCCTGTCCATTTAATGACTTCACCATCTTCTAGAATCTCAAGACTTTCTCTGTATCTTCTGCAACTGACCGGGCTCTCAGGGGGAAAAAAACAAATTATGAAGAAAGTAGAGAAGGAGGTCCATTCATAATTTCTTTGGGACAGAAGTGATGCACATCACTTCCATTCTCATTTCAGTGTTAAGAAATAATCACATGGATTCATCTAAATACAAAGGAATTACAACCTGACAGTGTGCCGAGGAAGAAATAAGCATGGAAACTGGTGAGCCCCAGCACTGTATCTCCTACAATGATGATATAAGATGAAATCTCTAGGTGATCCATAAATTTTGATTATCTGTATTAGCAGTTCACCTTTATCCTGGATTTGAAATAAATATACTTTTATATAGTTTTGGTCCCTGCCACTGCATAAAAATTACCCAGAAATTCCATAGCATAAAATTACCATTTATGAAGTTTATGGATATTGTATGTCCCAAATTCAAAACAGGCACAAAAGAGATAGTTTGTTTTCCCTCTGTGACATAGAGTCTCATCTGGGTATGACTCAACAGCTATGGGCTGGAATCACTTAGAGGACTTTCATTCATTCATATGTGTGACAGATGATGTTGGTCATCAGTAAAAACCTCACCTGAAGCTCTCCATCACCTACATGTACCTACACATGACCTCTCATGTACCTTTTACTTCTGCATAGTGTGGTAGCTCAGGATGTCAGTTTTCCAACACGGCAACTCAGAATGGCAAAAATGATGCCTTTAGGGACAGGCAGAAACCACACTACCTTTTATGACCCAGCATCATTCGCTTCTGCTGTACCCGACTTGTTTAAGAATTCACAAGCCCACCCAAATTCAAGGAGAGATCACATGTTAGAAGAATATGTGCAATGAGAGATATGGTGGTATCCAATTTTGGAAAGTATAATCTTCCACACATACTATCTTAGAATCACTGAATTTCATTTTTTGAAAGTACCTCACAGAATAAGGGCCAGCAAACCATGCCTACTGCCTGTTTTTGCAAACAAAGTTTTATTGAAATATAGTCATGCCTATTCAGTAGCAGAGTTGCCTAGCTGCAAAAAGGACTATATGACCCACAAAGGTGAAAGTATTTACTATTTGGCCCCTTATAGACAAAGTTTGCTGCCTCTATAGATAGAATTCTCATTATGCTTGTGGGCTCTGCAGTTAGACTACTTCAAATCACTTCTGGGGGGGTGATTGGTTGTGTGCTTTTGAAATTGCTACTCTTCCTCGTTACACTACCATGGGGAAATAATAAAGTCTATCACTGAGTTGTGAGCCTTAAATAAAAAAATCCATGGAAAGGATACAATAAACATTCACAAATGCTAATTCTTGGTGTTAGGATCACCTTAAATTATCAGCTAGATCAATTGCTATCATTGTTCTCCAAAGTATAACTTACTGCAGATTTCAATACATATAGGAATACAGAATGTCCATCTCATCTTTAACCATTGTATTAGAAATTTCTTCCTTCCACTAGGTTGAATATGTCTCCTTAAAGCTTTGTGCTGTCAAACCTGGCATAATCTTCTTAAGGTTCTATAGAACATCTTTTCCAAATACCCAGTTCTTCAAATATTTGAAGAATTCTAATTACACATCTTCAGTTCTTTCCATCACTTCTCCTGAGACACAGTTTTGTCCTTTTCCCACTTTGGTAATTCTCTTAATAAATGCACCAAAAGCATTTACCCATAAATTAGCAAAAGATTTAAGGTCTGTAAATTGATCTATGCCCATGATCCCTAAACTATCTATATTATACTGGTGATATTCATTTTTTGCTTCTCAGTCCTCTCCTGACTTCTCTGCTCTAGAAGAGTTGATTCTTTTAGATCCTGGAAAAGCTTGTTCTATTTACCCATTTTTTTAAAATCATACATTGTCCAGCCTCCCCAGATCTCTCCAGATGTTGATAGTATAGTTTCACTGCCCCTTATCAGCTTTCTATCATTCACACATATTTCTGATGTCTTGGTCTGAATCATTAATAAATCTCTCATCAACTTGAAACTCACACCATCAGTAGTCCTGAACTCAAAGTCACTGCATATTGTCTTAATAATCACTTTGCTTCCCCCAGACTTTATTGACCTTAATCACTATTTGTTCAACCAGTCTCACCTGAGGTGTCATTCCTCTTAGTGAAAGAAATTGGAAGAAAATGCAAGTGAAGACATAAACATTTCTTTTTATCTCTTTCAATATTATACTTTCAAACAAACTGTGTATCTCTATTAACCAGAGAAACAAAACCAAGAGAAGAGAGAGATTTATTTTAGGAAATAGTCTCATATGGTTGTGAAGGCATGATAAGTGCAAACTCTTCAGAGCAGGGGGGAGATGCAGAGAATTTACAGTTCATATCCAAAGTAGAGTGCTTTCAGAATTTCTCCTTGCTCAGGGGAGGTCAGTCTTTGTTCTATTAAAGCTGTCAACAGATTGGATGAGACCCAATAACATTGTGGAGGATGATATATTTTATTCAAAGTTCACTGGTTTTAAGCATCCATCTAATCCAAAAAAACACCTTCATAGACTCATCCAAAGCATGTTTGGACAAATATCTGGGCACCATGACCCACTCAGGTTGACACATAAAATTAACCATGACAGTATCTTAACTCTTTTTAATCTTTTCTCTTACAAACAAAATTGCTTAAATCTAGCCTGTATAAAATCTAGGTTTATGTTTTGATAATTATTCATTTTACAGTACATAGTCTGTTATGTAAAACCATGATTACGTTATATGCCTAAGTGGGTAGTCATGGTAAAATATCATCAACTAGTTTTTGTTACTATATATAAGTATAGCCTCTTAGCACACACCTTGACTTTAATATTTCTTGAATTCACATCACTCACCAATCTCTATCTTTACCTAAGAAAAGATTGATGGTGGAGAGAAATGAGAAAGCAATTATGACTCTTAAGGTTATCACTACTGCAAGTTTTAAAATCTAGATTTAACTTAAAGCATGGATATATTTCTGTTCATTAATTTACTTGACTATTTTATATTTGCCAGCTATACATCAGACAAGGGACTGATAACCAAATGTACAGGGAACTTAAGAAACAAAACTCTCCTAAAATCAATGAACCAATTAAGAAATGGGCAACTGAACTAAACAGAGCTTTCTCAAAAGAAGAAATTCAAATGGCCAAAAAACACATGAAAAAATTCTCACCATCTGTAGCCATAAAGGAAATGCAAATCAAAACCACACTAAGATTCCACCTCACCCCTGTTAGAATAGCCATCATCAAAAACACCAACAACAACACGTGTTGGTGAGGATGTGGGGAAAAAGGAACCCTCGTACACTGCTGGTGGGAATGCAAGCTGGTGCAACCACTCTGGAAAAAAATTTGGAGACTTCTTAAAAATCTAAACATAGACCTGCCATATGATCCAGCAATCCCACTCCTGGGGATATATATGCAAAGAAATGCAACACAGGTTACTCCAGAGGCACCTGCACACCCATGTTTATTGCAGTGCTATTCACAATAGCCAAGTTATGGAAACAACCAAGATGCCCCACTATTGATGAATGGATCAAGAAAATGTGGTACTTGTACACAATGGAATTTTACTCAGCCACAAAGAAGAATGAAATCTTATCATTTGCAGGTAAATGGATGAAACTGGAAAACATCATTCTGAGCGAGGTCAGCCAAGCTCAGAAGACCAAAAATTGTATGTTCTCCCTCATATGCGGACTTTAGATCTAGGGCAAATGCAGCAATGTGGTTGGACTTGGATCACATGACAAGGGGGAGCACATATGGGAGATATAGGAATAGGTAAAAAACCCAAAACATGAAAGTGTTTGATGTCCCCACTCCAAAGGAACTAATACAGAAACTTTAAAGCGACAGAGGTTAACATGAGAAGGGGATCAAGAACCAGTGTAAAGATCAGTTAGAGATGAATCAACATGGGTTGTAACACATGGGTACACGAAAGCAATGTTAGGAATCTCTCAGTATAGCTATCCTTAACTCAACTAGCAAAAATGCTTTGTCTTCCTTATTATGCTTGTGTCTTTTCTTCAACAAAATTAGTGATAAGGGCAGAAAAGGACCTGCCTGGAACTGAGGGAGGGAGGGGGGAGAGAGTGGGGGAAGGGACAGGGTAGAGAAATGACCCAAACAATGTATGCACATGTGAATAAATGAACAAAAAAAATTTACTTGACTATTTTAGAAATTCCACTTGTATTTCAAACTTATAATTTGACATTTTAAATTCTAATGTCATATCTTCAAATGATTTGACAACAAGAGTATCAAAACAAATATCTATACAAGTAAGAAGCTGTATAAGCATTAAATCCTGGTTCATTTAATACAATATTTGTGTTGAAATTCTACTAGAATAAAAAAGATGGCCTATTGCCTATGGAAATGATAGTATTTTGGTTTTATGCTTTTATGAATCTATGTGTTTTAAAATGTGTGTTTTCTTTTTTGTTAGCCACCTGTATGAATCCTGTTAATAATTCCTTTTTGTGTATGAAATTCAAGGTTCTTTTATTATACTTTCTCTCTTTAGGTTTGGATGTGTGGAGGAGAAATGTTTGACGTTCCATGTTCTAGAGTTGGTCATATCTACAGGAAGTACGTCCCTTACAAAGTTCCATCTGGGACCAGCCTTGCAAGAGTGAGTACTGAACATCAAAAGAGGGTGGGCTTGAGCAAGTACAGCTTTCTGAAAGCAGAGTAATTAGGTGCACATGTAGTATATCTAAGGCACAGTATACAGAAAGTTCAACGCGTGGCATTCCTCTGTTTGTCAGAGTTTTATTTCCATTGATTAATGAATTATTAACTGTTTTGCTAGTTCTTGTTATTGGCAGAAGCTTAGTGAGGTGGCTTGTTCATACTCACATGAATGACAAGTAGCAGAGAAGGGGTGTAAATCAAAGTCTACAGAATAGATGACCAATTCTTTTCCCCCAAGGGAGAAAATACAGGATATATAAGTGGTCAGACAGCAATAGGGATAAATGAGAGATGGGAAAAGATGGCGACTCAAACTCTGGCTTCTTCTTTTTGACAACCAGAACTTAACTCTACCTAAAATTTTACAAATTCTCAAAATTGGCCAAGTCTGGATCAGATATTGTTTTGAATAAAACCTTTCTTATACAGCAAATGCAAGGATGCTTTTCTTCTCTGCCTTTTAGAATGTTTTCATACATATTTAGAAGGATATAACCACAATACCTTCTCCAAACAATCCTAACAATTTCTCTATTGTCCATGTTACCTTCCTCATGACTGGGCCTGTTCTCTTCACCACAATACGTACCTCTACTGCTTGATGCCAATCTGAAAAAAGGATGTTTTACACATCCTTTTGCACAGTGTTCCCCTAGGAATCTAATCCTGAATTATTCATCTTGGTTCGTTTACTAGTAAGGCTATAACATGTAACTATTGGGTTTTTTATACAAACTCAATAAACTCATATAAGCTTTGGTAAAATAATAACAATAAATGAGCTCATCAGGATTCATTAGAATATCAATCCCACAGAGCAGAACTCTTTGTGTGACTTGCTGTTATCCTGTCAGCACCTAGGACGATGTTTAGAGAACATTTGAATATGTGTTGAAGAAATTAATTAATTAATTAATCAGGAAAACTAAGAAAAAATGATATAGGTTCTGTTGTTATTAAAATTTAAACATTTTAATGAAGTATAATAAAAACTTTCATTTATTGTGAGTCTTTTTAGAGAGAAGTTGTTCTTCCTTATTCCTTTCTGAGATTGTCGATAGTGTCCATTTTATCTTGAGCCATGTCCATGATCGTTCTTACGGCAATAAGAATTTATAGAATAAAATTATCTTACATCCATTTTGAAGGAAAATAGTCATATTATTCCATTCTCTACTCAAAAATAATTAGACATTAATACCATACTCCACTAAATATCTGTAAGATATACTATTTGAAGAAAAGAAACCAATTACAAAATCATAATGTGATTAAAAGGCTGCATTTTGGATAAGGAAATATGATTTAATTTCATCATGAGACTTAATGCGTATGAATCAGAAAATAACAAGAACTCACAGGGAGATTAAAGCAATTAAATAATTTTGAACATACATCATTTATCAGTCATGTGGATATCATAGCAGTTTAAAATATCCTAAAGATAAGGATGTTCTGTCTTTTATCCACTATCACTCACTCATATACTCCCCAACTTGTACCCCAAGATGAATTATTCACTTGTAGGATGGACAAGTTATAGTCAAAAATAGCATATAAAAGTTGGGTGGGAAAAGTTTTGCTGATCCAAAAAGTTTTATTTTCAAAAAATAAAAGTGTTCATATATTTTTGAGAGAGAAATGAAAGTACTTTTTCAAGGACTATCAAAATATAGGGAAACTTGATCTAGCACATAAAACATCCAGGAAAAAATGAGTCTTCATTCAAATGAAAGAAGTCTATAATTCTGAATTTTAATTTTTCCACTTAAATCTTACTTGAGGGCTCATTTTAATTTTTTCATAAACTGCTAGAGCAATCAGAAAGTCATAAATATTGTAGCTCAACTGTCACGCTAAGGAGCATTTTATGACTTTTTAAGTAAAAGGGTATATTAACATGAAAAACAATTCTGATATTTTGTGGCAGAACCTCAACTACATTGCTACACCCTACATGATTACAGAAACTGTCAAGGTGTTTGAAATGCAGGACCACAACTACTCTATAGATATTTTAATCTTCCTAGCCTCATTAGGAAATGGAGATGAAGCTGGAGACTTGATCCCAAATGTTTGTTTTTATACTTTACCAAACTCTTGTAATAGTTCAAAAATGTGCACCTTTGGTTTATGTACCTATATAAACTGATGATTCCAACCAACTTCCAAAATACACAAACACATACACACACACATAAGTGTATGATCAGCCTGAAGTCCTCTAAACATCATTCAGTGTGTATTATAGAAATAAATTTAAATAGTGCTATTCATACTTCCTATTTACCTTGCATTATAATCTGTTTGGAAGAAACAAAATATCCATTCAGGAAACCATTACAGAACAACAGAATGTAACAAATAATTTTTCAAATGTGTCTCCAAGATATGCATAGGTAGAGAGAGGAGGAGGTAGAAGTGGTACCATACCTGTGACCTTCACTCCTCCCAAATTAAACGACATTAAAGAAGATCTTTAAGGCTACCTCAATTAAATTAATAAGTTTCATTCAACAGTGGTCCCCAAACTCAGGACCAGTGACCATAGGCAAATTTTAGCCAAGTTTTCACCCAGCCTCAATGAACTGAGAAAAATAAGAATCACAAAGCTGAATCTAGTCAGTTTACTGACATCTCTCCTATGCAGTATTACAGGTTTTTTCTTTTTCTTTTTACAACTGTATTCAACATAGATTTTTGTTAAAGCCCTTATTTGGCAAAAACACAAGTTAGCATCCTTGTAGCATTTCCACAAAATGCAAAAATCTGGGACATTGTGATCCACAGTTCAGCTCCATCTGTGAATCAGAGAATTCATTGATCATTAAGAAGTCTAAATATTTTTAAGTCAACTCAGGACCTAGTGTCAGTACATTGGAGCATAGTTGTGGTATCTTTTCACTGGGAGTAAACAGGAAGCCCCTGGAGTAAAAGATGTTTGTCTGTAGAGTTGTGGAGAGACTAGAAAGACACCAGTGCTATGGTAACAGTCATCCATTTTTTGGGGATGGCACTGCCTATAACAGAAGAGTGAGCAGCTCCTCAGCAAAGGTGCACTGAGCGCTGCTTTGCACAGCCGGAGGTGGCTGGGTGGCAAATGAGTGGAAGGGTCTCAAGGGAAACCCTTCATTATGACAGCCCACCACCCTGCAGGAAGAGCAGTAATTACTAGCTCCTCTTGGAGAGGAGCAGATTCACAGACTCCTCTATGATTGCCGGTGAGTTTGTGGATCACTGGACCACAGATAGGTGCTAACAGTAGGGATATAGCAAAGATGGAAAGTAGTTACTCCATGGCTAAACATGGATGCTGCTCAGCCCATGGGAGTTTCCCCAGAAGGGTCCCAATGTCCACTGAGGGAAGCCCTGCAGACTGTGAGCAGGACAATCCTGGAAGTACACACAGCTGCCCTCCCTAGTGCCAACAGAAGAGAAAACTTGAACCAACTGAAGACTCTACTAACTCTTATCCTATGTCTGTAAGGGACACCAGAAAATACAAATCAGAAAACTGTAGACTTTTACATTTTACCTCTAACATAGTGCCTATAGTTTATTTCTTAGTCTAAAATTTATCTGGGGCTGGTAGAGTGGCTCAAGTGGTAAGAATGCCTGCCTAGTAAGCACAAGGCCCTGAGTTCAAACCTCAGTGCCACCAAAAAATAAATAAATAAAATAAAATTTCATTTTGACTTTTATAGCAACCATTCAAGAACATGGAAGAAGTTAGGTTTTTCCAAGTTTCAGGATAAAAGCTAAAATCAAAGAAGTGAAATCTCTTAAAGGTCAAATGTGTACAGGATGTTGCATAGTTCTTGAAAATGTTAAATCACAGTAAATGGAATAGATATTAAATAGTGAAGACTAGAGTTGAGATTATGAACCAAGATCTGTCTTTCCAGGGTCTGTACATTAAACATCCTGTCCCTTATAGAAAGAAGGTTTGGAATAAAATAGGAGCAGCTGGGGCCTTTATGGCAGGGGCACCAGCCTGAGCAAAGTACCAAGCAGGAATGAGCAGGCACACAAAGCACTGTGTTAGAACCTTACATGTGAATTGGAGGCAGACCCTAGAAGACCCTGGATGCAGACTGTAGGGAGGAACTGATTGTTTTTAAATGAGAAGTGCCAGGATAAAAACAGATGAAGTACAATGGAAAGATCAACTAACAAGTAGCATGAAAGGGGAGAAAGACTACAGAAATCAACATTTTCAATGCAAGAAACATGTGTTCAGAAAATTTCATGAAATATTTTTATTGATTTGCTACACTGTGCAAAAAAGGGGAGGTCATATATGACTATGAGGTTTCCTTCTTGGTATCTGAGAAAAAACAGTATAAGTACAAAAATAAGAAAATGAGGAAGCAGGAAGAGGCTGAGAATGGTTTTAGACATGGTGAATTCTGAGTAACAGCCTGTACATGGGCTCAGGGAGAGTCAGATTTGGGAGACTTGCACAGACCTAGAATTCTGAAAGTCCACAAAAACTTTTGCCATATTTGCTTTTAGTTTAAATTTTTGTTGCAGAAAAAAAAATGCTTACTGAACCAGATTCTAAGATAGAGTCCACATAATCTGGCAACCTACATATAACAAAGCCAGAATATTGTGACCATAAGAGAAGAGTAAAACGAGAATAATCAAACTCACTATGCAATGAGATCTGTATCTTATACAGCTTACTTATGTATAAACTGTTTTCATGTCAATTATCATTGGAATTATGATTTAACAGAAGTACATGTCATATATAGCACATAGCATTATTATATGTATAGTAATATATGTTTTATGATACTTACTAATGTATGTACTAGTTGCAAATGTTTTTTATTTTATATACTTACTTAGGATTTCTTAGCCAAATATAATGACCCTTGAAGATTTCCTATAGTTTTTAAACTTCATGGTCTCATCCTCATCTAAGGTCTG